AAAAGGACAGCAACTTGTCTGTTCCCCTTCCCCCCAATTCCCCAGCACTGTTCCCATCCCCCCAATTCCCCAATAAAAATCTTTAAAAAAAATGACAAGGTGCCAGTTGTAAGAGTAGGCATTCCAAGGCCTTGAGAGCTCCTGTTGCCCCCTTCTGCCTCTGCCATTGCCATGGGGAGAACATTCCCTGGATAGTCTGCTCATCCCAACAAGATAAAAGACACAGGGAACAGATCTACTGCCCAGATAACGCCCAGTCAGTGAAGGAGTGAGGCCAGCAGAGACTGGCCAACTCCACACCAACTTCAGACAGGCGAGCTAAGAAAATGATCATCAGTGTTGTTTGTGATTCAGTATTAGTATGGCCGTAGTTATCTGATTTAGGAGACATATTCCAAAGAAAACCCTGGAGAAGCTCAGGGCCCAGCATGGGTCTTAGAAAAGCGTCAATAGGGATTTTGATCAGCTGCATCACTAGCGTGGCTGGTTTCAGAGTAGAGTGGGGCTGCTACTCTGGCTACATTCTGCAGGATGTGGGTTGGGGAGCAGGCTGAGAATTTATGATGCTTGGAAGAACATGCAGGAAACCTGTTTTGTTTTGCAGCTGGCTGATGCTGAAAACATCTCTTTGGTATTGGGCCCAACTCTCTTCTCTTACCCATCAATCTCCACTGGAATAGAACTTTTCCCCAGCTCCCTGGTGACTGGGCTGTCATGAAGTTTCCTGACTCTGGTGAATTTCCTTCACCAGTTCTTGGTAGAGGCCAGGCCCTCCACTTCCGGAGGGGCTCTAAACTCACTTCCCCCTCCTTCCCTTTCAGTGGATTTGCAAGTCAAAGGGTTAGTTCTTTTGATCTTGAGGCAACTTATACCTTACCATACTCTTAAGAAGCAGTCCCTTAATCTTTCTTTCCTCTCACCTCTTTGAGAATCTAATAAAACATTTCTGTAGAAAGTTCACGTATGTATATCCATACCAATCCACAAATATTTGCATAGCATTTCAAGGTAGTCACACCCCATGAAGTCTGTCTTTGAATCCTAAATACTTGCTCCAACTTTTGAGTTAAACATTGTTCATAGTAGTCTCACAGTTGATAAGAGCTTAAAAGTATTTTGTCAGCTAGGAAAATTCACCTCATAATATTTGTATTTTGGGTGCACAGTATTTTCAGACGCACTTCCGTGAGTCTTTAAAACCTATACGACTTTGGGAATTTCCTATCACCTCTTTACATTTTTACCCGGAAACATTTTCACCAGGAGGGCTGCCAGATGACAAAGCCAGCATAAAGCAAGGAAATAATGTGACTCATAGAAGAGGTTGTGTTTATGTGTTTGTGTGTGTGTGTGTGTGTGTGTGTTCATGTTTGGAGATAGAGCAGAGCAACTAAGGCACCAACCACCCCCCACTCTATCCCCAGTTTCCCCAACTCTTAGCTCTCTGTTTTCCTACAATTTGTCACTTGTGTGAGACCCAGGAAAACGTCCACAAATAGTTTAGTAACACGGGGCTCCCCCTACTGCATATCTCCTTACCTTCTTGAACGTGGCTGTAATAAACTCAGTACTTCTGGATAGTGCCCCAGCCAAAACAACCAAAAAGAAGGGTTATTTTGAACTCTGAGCCCCAAGAATCCTATAACTCACTTTAGGTATTTAATAATATTACAGTAGTAACAAAACAAAAACAGTGAGCTTTTCTATCACCTAGGATAATCCACTCATATTCCTAGATCTTTGTCAACAGCAGTCAGGCATGAATGAAAACAATAACAGCATTCAGTAGAATCAATGATAATCCGATCAATGTCACTGTGTTTACACTGTTCCTGTTTAATTGCATATGTTACAGTAAAATGACTATTGTGGTCAAAGAAAGCAAATGTAAAAATGTTTCAATAAACTTTACATCACTGTACAACCCCAAAGCTGGATTTAATGTGGTGGGGGAATGCTTTCAGCAACATCATAAAGCAGATGTCTGGAATTGTGCAAACTACAACTTGGCCTACAATCCAAAGTCTTAACCCAACAAAAAAGACTTCATGTTTCAGGAACATTTTCCAGACAAAAAAGGGACCCTGACTATCCTGATTAGTTTGAAGAGGCCACTAATTTTTTCCTTGAATATTAAGAGAACAAAATGTTTATGAAGTAGTAAAATTTCATTGGATGGCTTTACATGGGGACAATCTACTTTCATGAATACTAACAACTATTACTGTTTAGGCTTAACTTTATATTATTACTGTTGCCAGGGTAATAATTGAGGAGTTGATTAAAAATGCCAAGAAAGCAACATCAACCATTTTCTTTTGGGGGCTGGAGTAAGTGGGGTGCCTTGGAGTACATCATTATTGCGTTGCTAATGTTGGTCTTGCGCCAGCACCACTTAACTTCTTGCATATGGCGCCAAACGCAGACTTTTCTGCCTCGATATCCCACTGTGTCGGGACTATTGACCAGGTTTTATTCATCTCTTTATGAAACACCCACTAACTATCCTGACTGAAACTTCACTTTTCTCCAAATTAGTTTTCAATCATCTCTGAGGGTAGTCCAACATTCACCTTCTCCAATTCAGCTTGAAGTATTAAAACAACAATGGAACTTGGAAGATAATTAGTCCATAATGAAACTTAATTGAGTTTTTCAATTTTGTACACTTTTTTTCTCATTCACAATGGGTCAGAAGCATTTCCCTACATAATGCTGCTCATTACAAGATCCTAATTACATTTGGGATTTCATGGCCTTGCATAACAACTGTCATCTCGCCGTAAAACATTATGTGTAAAACATTGTACAACATGGACACCCTTTGGAGAGGCTGCACACCAGCTTCTAACATCCTTTGTCTAACAAATTGGCCAGGAGTGAACATTCTTTTCCTTTTTATCTATAAAAAAGTATATGTCTAAGAACATTCATGAATGTTTTCAAAATGACTAAAATAAATTACATACAGATAATTCTTTGCCATGAAGGCTTGAAGAAATGAAT